ATTTGATTTAAAATGAATAAATTCAAAAAAAAATCAAATTAAATAATAAAAATTATATATGGACACATGGATGAAGCTAGGACTCGTGGACAATGATTCAAACTCAAATCAAGTGGAAAATAATGGGCCCATTTGACAAAATTTGAAATTTTGAGGATAGTTGACTTTTGGCAATTTTGCAAAAAAGTCCAACTTCAACAATGCATAACTTCTTCAATTTTGAACTTTTGGAAGTGTTCTTGGACTTTTTAGAAAGCTTGAGATGTCTTATAATCAATCCGTTTGGTCCCATATCATTTTGATATTCCATGATCAAGTTATAATCTATGGCAAAAAAGGTGTTTTTGTTGACTTTCAAAAATGACCTATAATGTCCAAATTCATAACTTCTTGTGAGTGTATTTTTTTATCTTGGGGTATGAAGATGTATTGTAGGAAATTTCATCCTCATCAAAATGATCTTTTGATGGGTCATTTCTCATAAAGTATGAGAAAGTTATGCTTGGTCAAAATTGAGTTGACTTTTCCTATAAAACCCTAATTTAGCAACTTTTGAGTCTTGATGAATTTTGAGCAATCCTTGATGAATCATGATCAACCCTTGATCAAATGATGAAATATCCTTCAAAATGAGAATGTTGACAAAAAATCTTGAGGTTTGACTGTTTATAGGTCACAGTTGACTTTTGCCCTAGCACAGTCGATTTTTGGACCCTTTGAGCAATTGATTGGGCAAACTTCCTCTGTAAGGCTTGAAATTTGGCATGGATTATCTTGAGAGCATATTAGGAAATTATGGAGCACTTGAGGTCATTTGGAATCAAGTATCTTGATGCAACACAAAACCCTAATTTGGGGTAGACTGTCTTAGGAGATAACCTGTCTGACCAACTCTTGAGCAAACTTGAGCAACTTGGAGATTTTTCTTGCAATGTTTTGAGAAATATGGGAGGGAAAATTTTGGGGTACAACAATTTCAAATATTGTGATTCTAGATGCATATTAATTAGGGTGTTACATTTATCATGAAATTTTCATGTGAATTTTTTAATCAATAATGAGAATTTTATTCTATGAAAGACTATTACATAAACTACTACAAATTATACATAAACTATAATACCACATAATAAACATACATTTTTGTAATGTGGATGTTTGTGTGTATGAAAGTATTATTATGTTACGAATGTAATTCTTAGAATGTGTGATTGGACCTAACTCGACCCTACAAAACTGACTTGTAAGGTGAGAATTACTCCCACTTAGAAAGTCATGTTCAAGCCATATAGTGCATGGGTCAGGTTATCAGGGCACAACATAAAGGTGCAGGATCAATCTTCAAATCCAACATCCACCACCATAAAGGCCTCGCCAGATTCTGCAGTCTCGATTTTAGTGAAAGAAACGGCTACCTCAAGGGAGTAATCACCGATATCATCCACGACCTAGGTCGCAATGCACCTCTTGCCAAGGTTACTTTTTGTCATCCATTTAGGTATAAGAAACAAAACGAGCTTTTTATTGCTGTTGAAGAATTATACATTGGGCAGTTTATTTATTGTAGGAAGAAAGCTAGCTTGTTATTGGTAATGTTTTGCCGGTTAGGTCTATTCCTAAAGGAGTTGTGATTTGTAACGTTGAACACCATGTTGGTGATTGTTGTGCTTTTGCTAGGTGTTCTAGGGATTACTCTATTGTTATTAGTCATAATCCTGATAATGATACATCTAGGGTTAAGCTTCCATCTGGGACTTTGCAGAGGTTTTGTAAACACATCTGTCAATTGATCATTTGAGTTTACAAAGCTTGTGGTGATATCTCCTAACTCGATCTTCTCTCTGACAAAGTGACAGTCAATCTCAATATGTTTGGTCCGCTCATGGAAGACCGGATTTGAAGTAATGTGCAATGCAGCTTTATTATCATAAATAAGTGTCATTGGTCTTGCTTTTTCATATTTAAGTTCCTTGAGCAATTGTTTTAACCAAATAAGTTCACATGTTTCCATCTCCATAACTCTATACTCTTCCTCGGCGCTTGATCTTGCAACTACATTTTGTTTCTTACTTTTCTAAGATTTAAGGTTTCCTCCAACAAGCACACAATACCCAGAGGTGGGTCGTCTATCAAATGGTGATCTTTCCCAATCAGCATCGGGTATCCAACTATCTGAGTATGTCATTTATCTTCATAAACTAAACCTTTTCCTAGAGCACATTTGATGCATCTCAGAATCCTGATAACAGCATCCATGTGTTTCTGACAAGGGAAATTTAGGAACTGATTTACCACACTGACTGCAAAAGAAATGTCTGGACAGTGACTGTGAGATCATTTAACTTTCGAACCAATCTTCTATACCTTTCTGAGTCTGATAGAGGCTCCCCCTGATTGGGTACTAGTTTGACACTTAGATCCATAGGAGTATCAGCCGATTTAGCGCTCAACAAACCTGTTTCTTCCAAAATATCCATTCCATATTTCCGCTGAGAAATCACCAAACCATCTTTAGATTGGGCTACCTCAATACCCAAGAAATACCAGAGTTTACCAAGATCTTTTTTTTAAAATTGATTCAAGAGATGTTGTTTCAACTGGAGTATTCCCTGCTCATCACTTTCAGTTATGACAATATCATCTACATGCACAATAAGATAAATACACCATTGGGTTGAGTGACGATAAAAGACAGAATGGCCAGCTTCACTACGGACCATAATAAATTATTGTACTATAGTTTTGAATCTGCCAAACTAAGTTCTCAGAGATTTTTTAAGACCATAAACAGACCTGTGTAACCTACAAACCATATTCGATGACTCCCCCTGAGCAACAAACCCAGGTGGTTGCTCCATATATACTTTCTCTTCAAGATCACCATGTAAAAATGCATTTTTGATGTCAAGTTGATGAAGAGGCCAATGTTGAATGGCTGCATTGGCTAGAAGTAGTCTAACATATGTCATCTTGGCTACATGCGAGAAAGAATCACTAAAACCCAATCAAAAAATGTGAGTGTATCCTTTGGTTACCAAGTGAGCTTTAAATCGATCAATCTTACCATCTGGACCAACTTTCACTGTATAAAGCTAATGACAACCTACTAAAGATTTCCTAGGGGGTAGAGGAACCAGTTCCCATGTACCACTGCTTTGAAGAGCACACATTTGATCAATCATGCTTGCCTCCACTCATGGTGAGATAATGCTTCGCCTGGAGTGTTAGGAATAGAAACAGAAGACAAAGAAGACAAACAAGTATACTGCAAAGGGGAAAGACGATGATAACATAAATCAATATAATGTTGAGAAGGATTTCATGTTTGACGTATACCTTTTCGAAGGGAAATCGAAAGATCGGAATCAGGTTGCAGGATCATATCTGGTGATGGCGAGAGCATCGGAGGAAAGTCTGCAATGACTTCAGGGACATGTAAGACCTCAAGGACATGTACGACCTCAGAGACAGGTACGACCTCAGGGACAGGTACGACATATGTTGATTAACAATGCTGATATGTTTGAAGTGGATGAGAAGTCGGGGGGTTAACCGTAGGGTTACATAGTGGGTCAGGTTCCCTAGAATGATGGGGGATAATGACAAATGGGACTTCTTGAAGAGGTGTGGGAGTACTCTCTTGAAAGGGTTCTGGAGTTACTTGGTTGGACTCGAAACATGGAACAGACTCGAAGAAGGTGACATCGGCCGACATGAGATATCGTTGTAGGATATGTGAATAGCAACGACAACCTTTTTTGGATTGATGATAACCAAGAAAAACACAATTTAGTGATTGAGCTGATAGTTTATCAAGACCAGGAGAGAGATTGTGTATAAAATATGTAGATCCGAATACTCGGTAAGGAATTGGGTGAAGGGGGGAATGGGGAAAAAGGATTGAATGAGAGATTTTATTATTAAGGACAGATGATGGCATGCGATTTATAAGGTAACATGCCGTTAGCACAGGGTCTCCCCAAAACCGAAGTGGATTACCATGGAGAAGTAAGGTCCGAGTGATTTCTACAAAATCCCGAGTGATAATAACTAAATAGAAATTGATTAATTATATACTATGATAAATGATAAGATAATATAAAAATAAAGTAATTGAACAATTAATATATTTAATAACTAAAAAATCATAGACATTTTTTGTACGGAATAATGGAAATGTCCATTTTAAGTTTTAAATGAGTTTTTTTTCACATTTTTCAAAATATTTTTTATAAGAATATTTTTTAAAAATTAGTATAAATTGTTTCAAACCCATTTTTCATAAACTAAATAAGTAATTTTAACATATGGTAATATAATATTCATTACTTATAGTTAATCATAATTAAAGTTACCTAGTTTTCTAAAAAGAAATATCTCAAAAATAATTTTTAGAAAAATAATTTCAAAATAGATTCAAATTCAAGTGGCTTTAAAAAAATTTATTTCATATATTAAATCAGAGAAAAAAGATTTATATCTTTGATTATTAATTTAAACAAATTAAATTAAAAGTAACTATAAAATTTAAGAGATTGTAAACTAATTTACATTAAAATACTATTACAAACTTAACGACAAATTGTTTTTATATTAAAATAAGATTCAACTAAATTTTCAATTACTTGTTCCATTATACTATAAATAGATTTATATAGTGTCATTTGAGTTTATCTAACGATATTTATCATTTTATTTAGTTTGATATTTCAAAATAAGAATTATCTCTTATCCCAAATTCTTATAATAGTATATTGACACCAAATCTAGCAAAATTATACTCATAACTTAGTAAATTACAAGGATGCAATCTATTAGGAATACTAAGTTGATATATTGTTGAAAAATTGTATGTTTGTAACGATTTATTGTCATTTTATTAGAAATAAATGACACAATAAAATATTCATAAATTTTAACATCTAATAGATATAGAAAGAAGTTCAGCACAAGTCTTCATCTTAGAAATACCTAAATTTTAAGAGTCATGAATTTAAACGATGGCGGGTGGAGTTTTAGTTGCTTCAATAAATGGAAGGAAATATGAAGGAAATGTTACAATGTTTGTTTTGGTCACATGTTTGGTGGCGGCCATGGGAGGTCTACTTTTTGGTTATGATCTTGGTATTACAGGAGGAGTGACTTTCATGGAACCATTTTTAGTTAAATTCTTTCCTGGTGTTTACAAACAAATGAAAGATGAATCTAGACACGAAAGCCAATATTGAAAATTTGACACCGAGCTCCTTACTTTGTTCACATCTTCCTTTGTACCTTGCTGCTTTAATAGCTTGTTTCTTTGCTTCCACAACTACAAGAATGTTAGGAGCAAGGCCTCAATGTTTACAGGTGGCTTGTTTTTCCTTGTTGGTGCATTGCTCAATGGTTTTGCTGTCAACATTGAAATGCTTATCATTGGTCGCATATTACTTGGTTTTGGTGTAGGATATTGTAATCAGGTAAAAACCAATATTGTTTTTATGCTTTTATGTTTTTATGTATAAAGGATCAAGAAAATTGCAAGTCTAATTGCATATCATTTTTTGTTACTCATAAACAGTCAGTTCTAATGTATTTGTATGAAATGGCTCCAGCAAAGATTAGAGGTGCACTCAACATGGGCTTCCAAATGATGATAACTATTGGAATCCTAGGGGCAAACATTATCAACTACTTTACTTCTAATCTTGAGAGTGGATGGAGAATTTCTTTGGGTATCGGAGTTGTCCCTGCAATTTTGTTGTGTATAGGATCTTTTTTCTTAGGTGACACTCCAAACTCTATGATTGAAAGGGGGCAAAAAGAAGAAGCTAAGAAAATGTTGCAAAAGATTCGTGGAATTGATAATGTCGATGAGGAGTTCCAAGATCTAATTGATGCTAGTGAGGAAGGAAAAAAGGTGGAACATCCATAGAAGAATATTACACAATTGAGATACACACCTCAACTAACATTTTGCTCTCTTATTCCATTCTTCCAGCAACTCACAGGAATCAATGTTATCATGTTTTATGCCCCAATCTTTTTCAAAACTTTGGGCTTTGAAAACAATGCTTCCCTCATGTCTGCAGTAATTACCGGAGGTGTCAATGTTCTTGCTACTTTTGTTTCCATCTTCACTGTGGACAAGTTTGGAAGAAAGATTTTGTTTCTTGAAGGTGGTGTCCAAATGTTTATTTGTCAGGTGAAAATTGAAACTTAACTAATAATTAATTATTTATATTTACCATTAAAATTAATCTATTTTCCACAAATAGATAATATAAATGTTATGATTATTGATTGTAGATTATTGTTGGAAGCATGATTACTATCAAGTTTGGAGTTAGCGGTGAAGGCTCATTTACACATATTGAAGCTAATCTTCTTTTGTTCTTCATATGTTTGTATGTTTCCGCATTTGCATGGTCTTGGGGTCCATTGGGATGGTTAGTTCCTAGTGAAATATGCTCTCTTGAGGTTCGCTCTACAGGTCAAGCTACCAATGTTGCTGTGAACATGTTGTTCATCTTTTTCATTGCTCAAGTTTTTCTTACTATGCTTTGTCACTTGAAGTTTGGACTTTTTTTCTTCTTTGCTGGATTTGTTCTTATAATGACAATTTTCATTGTCATATTTTTTCCCGAGACAAATAATGTCCCAATTGAAGAAATGAATAAAGTGTGGAAGTGTCAGTGGTTTTGGACAAAGTTTGTTCCAGATGTTGTCGTTGATCAAGACCATAAGGTTGTTGCTTGATTTTGATATCAGAAAAAGTTTGGGGTCTAGGCCAATATATTCATGATATAATAATTTATGTAATTTCTATTTGATGTTGTTATATTCATCTTGTATCTAAGATTTTCTTTAAAAAATAGTTGTATTCATTTAAGAATATTATTTAATATATTGTTTCTCTAATATAATGTGCTTATAATTTTTGTGAAAGTTAATTCTCCTTAATTTAATATTTTAATTATAAACTTTTCATACAATAACAAAATAATTCTATAAAGTTAATAAAATAACTTGTGTGACTTCATAACTAAGATGATACTACAATATTTCCTCTTATGGAAATTCCTAATTGCATGAGGAATTAATCTTTAACACCTTATTGGTATTCAACTTATAAAAATGGACATAAGGCATACTTTGCGTTATAGATCATTGATGTTGCTCGGCCGAGGGCAGTGCAACACCTCAGATTTGCTAATTGAATCTAGATATGAAGGTGTCCACCAAATGGCTTTCCCTAGCACTTGATGCTAATGTTCCCCATCGGCTAGGAAGTTTCCAGATGAGATCGTGACTCGAGGCTTCTATTGGAACTGCTTTGAGGTGGCTAGGAGTTAGTGTAACCGCTTGTTCAACATCGGATCTGAGTTTGGTGTACCCAAATAGTGCACATCTGAGATTTTGGCTTCGTGAATATTTGGTTTCCTCGTCGGAGATCTCTTTGGAGGTCAGATATGTGGATCGAATTTGAAATCATGGAAATCGGAGGAATCATAATTAGATTCTCACAAACGGCACCACTGCTCTGTTGTGGAAACATAAATGGCGATGATTGCAAAAACTACAGCAGATCGGAGCTTCTGATGCACTTTGTTAATGTGACACCGAGGATCAAAGGTTATGATCATGGTTCTTCTTAAACCAATGGTATTAATGTTGATATGGTGCCGTGAAATCATGTTATCTCAGATACGATGGATCTAAGGGGGGTAATTGTATGGTTATCACTCTAATTCCCAAGTCAGTTTAGGATTTAATATCGAAGGTTGTAAAAGTGGAGTTCATAGATTATGTACCTTATAACCCTTTACAAAGGTATTTATACCTTGGGCCTGGCAGAGTAAGTTGTGTAATGGACCTCGTGCTATTGGGCCTTTGGCATGTGTGGATTAGTGGGTCTTGGGTCTTCAACCGACACATAAGAGTTAGTAAATTAACTTAAATGGATAGGGAAACTGGTAACTTCACCAAGCTAGTATTTAAGTCAAATTGAAGAAAAAGAGTTTCCATATATTCCATTGTCTCAAAAATCTGAGTTGATAGAGAGCTCTAAGAGAAAAAAATAACGAATGGCATGTGGGGCAAAAGGAGAAGGAGAAGAATGTTTGATTCCATCATTTTGCACATGTGAAATAGAGTGCATAGAAAAAGAATCAAGGATGAATTGATCAAAATCTTCAAGAGTACATCATCATCTCCATTCTTTCTCCAAAATTTAGGTTTTAAGTTGGGGTTCTTAGGACTTAATTCGGAATAGAACCATTAAGAACAAAGCATGGGGAAATGAGATTATAATCTATGATTACATGTTTGACTTGTGTGAATTTATGAAAAACATGTTTATGATTTTTATTCCTTTTGAATGATTACTTGCAAGTTCCCTTATGATATATTTCCTATCCTTATACTATGTTAGAACATGATTGCATATTGGTAGAATTGGAGAAAATGTGAGTAATGAAGTGAAATCAGTTCTGCACGGGTTTGTATCCAATTAGAGATAGAGTATAGTCAGTTATCACTCGTGAAAATGGTCCATTTGAAAGTCACAACATACATGTAACTAGTTATATATTTGGTGTACACGGTATAACCCTCATAAATTGTCCATACATGAGTAAGTAGCGGCATGTAACCAGTTACACCATTAGGTAACTGATTACATGCCTTATAATTCCTCAAATTGAATTGTTTATTATTCTTTTCATGAGAGATTGGCGAGTTTTGAAATTAATGAATAAATCTAAGATCATATAGAACATGATAGAGAAGTAAATGATTAAATTTTATATGTATGTTTCTTGGTGAATAATTAATGCAAAATGATACATTGGCTTCATGTAACCGGTTACACCATTTCGGTAACCAATTACATGTTGGAAACCACCATAAGTTGAGTCTCGGAACTCTTATTTTGGCACATGAAATTGTTTCAGAAGGATAATTCAAAGTTATACCTTATCGTGAAGTGAAAATTAATATTATATGTTTAATTATCTATAGGATGATTGAAAATACATGTAAATTGTATGCTTTATTTTTGTATGGTTAAAATTTACATGTAGAACATGTAGGGTAGACAACACTGGTAATTAGGTTAAGAATCCTAATCAATTGTGTTTTGTTGTATAATAAATAAGTATAAAACAAATCAAGAAGTGTAAGAAACCATAATATGAACTAAGTATAGGAAAATAGTGATGAAACCTAGAATACAGAGATGTACTCTAGAAAGTGAGAAACCATAAGATCATGTTGGAATCTGACGGCAAGTAATAATGGGAAGTTTGATGGCACTTCTAGTTTCAAAAGTAGTGATAATATTGATTCCAAAAGGAATAAATTGTAATGAGTATACTGAACATTGAGACTCCTAGGGCTTGTTGTGAATTTAGTTCATTCTTAGGAGGTTTTCCATGCAATGGAGGTAGGTCGTACCAAAAATCCATATTTGATGGAAATGATTTTCGTACAATTGACGTGGGTAGTATTGTAAAGCCATATTTGGTGAAAAGGATTTCCATGCAATAGAGGTAGGTCGTATCATACAACCATATTTGGCAGAAAGGATTAGCTAGTAGGCAGTGAACATTTATCATGCTAAATGTCTCCTAAGTTCAACATGACTTGGGAAGCTAGGGTATAAACTTTTATCTTTGGTGTGAAGTTGGATGAACTGTGTTTCCTCTTTGTTTTACTTATCTAATACTTGAGTATAGTATTAGTAACATGAGGATAGTTTTATAAACCTTTTGGCCGAGTAGATTTATGGTTTAGTTAGGACTCTATTTGAGATAGTTGCATCTCACCTCATGTTTAATATTTCTGATAAGTAGGCGTCGTACAAAGGAAAAGGAAAGGTGTTGTAAAGAATTTGAAGACCATGATATATATTTTGTGCTTTCGTTGTGCATTGTATAGGTATTTAGACTTTTTTTGTACTTAATACCAAATATAACATTGCAAATGTTATGATTCTAGACGCATATTATTCATAGTGTTACATTTATCATGAAATTTTCATGTGAATTTTTTATTCAATAATGAGAATTTTATCCTATGAAAGACTATTACATAAACTACTAAAAATTATACATAGACTATAATACCACATAATAAACATAATTTTTTGTAATGCGGATGTTTGTGTGTATAAAAGTATTATTATGTTATGATTATAATTTTTAGAATGTGTGATTGGGCCTAATTCGACCCTACAAAACCGACTTGTAAGGTGAGGATTACTCTCACTTAGAAAGTCATGTTCAAGCCATATATTGTATGGGTAGGGTTATCAGGGCACAACGTAAGGGTGCAGGATCAATCTCTAAATCCCACACCCACTATTGTAAAGGCCTCGCCAGATTTTGCAGTCTCGATTTCGGAAAAATAAACGGCTACTTCAAGGGAGTAATCATTGATATCATCCATGACCCAGGTCGCAGTGCACCTCTTGCCAAGGTTACTTTCCGTCACCAATTTAGGTATAAGAAATGGAACGAGATTTATGTTGCTGCTGAAGGATTATACATTAGGTAGTTTATTTATTGTAGGAAGAAAGCTGCGCTTGTTATTGGTAATGTTTTACCGGTTAGATCTATTCCTGAAGGAGTTGTGATTTGTAACGTTGAACACCATATGGGTGATCGTGGTGCTTTTGCTAGGTGTGCTAGGGATTATGCTATTGTTATTAGTCATGATCCTGATAATGATACATCTAGGGTTAAGCTTCCATCTGGGACTTCACAGAGATTTCGTAAACACATCTGCCAATTGATCATTCGAGTTTACAAAGCTTGTGGTGATGTTTCCTTAATCGATCTTCTCTCTGACAAAGTGACACTTAATCTCAATATGTTTGGTCCGCTCATGGAAGACCGGATTTGAAGTAATGTGCAATGCAACTTGATTATCATAAATAAGTATCATTGGCCTTGCTTTTTCATATTTAATTTCCTTGAGTAAATGTTTTAACCAAATAAGTTCACATGTTGACATCGCCATAGCTCTATACTCTGCCTCGGCACTTGATCTTGAACCTACATTTTGTTTCCTACTTTTCCAAGATATAAGGTTTCTGTAACGCGGTGGGAGAACTGACTTGGTGTTTTGCGTTTTATCGCAAATGTTGCGGTTAGCAAGAGTCGCCACCGCTTTTCTTTTATCCAAAAGGAAAGGTTGAAAAGAACAGGAAAGACCTTTGAGATGTTTCCTTGAGTTTGGGGAGTAGATTATGAAAAGGGAAAGTATTAGCACCCTTTTCATCCATAGTTATCTACGGGCTCTTAGTTGCTTGCTAGATCACTTGCTTTTGTTTGAAAATATGCTTTGTGTGGTTTTTGAAAGTATTTTGAAAAGGCGCCATCGTTTAGGAAAACTTTGTAATGATTCTCGTTCATAAGAATGTATACAAAGTGTTGATCTTTTGAAAATGTTTCAAGTTTGAAAGATGTTTTGAAAGTGTTGGTGTTTGTTTTGAAAATAGCAAGGATGTTTTGGTTTTAAAATGAGCAAGCAACTTAGAAACATTCTACCTATTCAAAAGTCTTTCTTGTTTATTTCCTCTTTCCTTTGACATTGTTATCTTACCATTGATTTGGTAAGTAACCCTATCTTTGGATGTAAAAGGGACGGGCAAGGGTCATCGTATAGCCATGATAGCAATGTTGTGAAATATCTTAGAATTTTCTTTAAGGGACTAAGATCATTTTTGAAAGGAAACTTTGATAGCCTCATCGAGG